ACGCCGTCCTCCCGCCTATTTATCCATATTTAGGCTGGTCTATGAGCACATAATCCTTGACGTCTGTCATTGACAATAAAATGTATACATACATATATATATATGTACAATAAAAATGATTTTAAGAAGATTTCAAATCGAACATTTCAGAAAAAGTCATTAAATATCTAAATATATTTCTATGAATACAAAAATATATTATTATTTATTTTTCAAACAAAACTAGAAATAGTTAAAGTTCAATCTAGTCAAAGATAGACACAACTATTCATATTATCTTTAAAGCATATGTTATTTTGTCTAATGTCATATGAACATATATATATAAATACATAATTACAAGGTTGATATGGATATTTTCTTATTGGTATCGTGTTATTGATTTATCAATTGTCTGTTGAACTACTAATCTATAGAAAAGTATTTTTTTATTTCCTATGTTAATCAAATCGACCTCGTCTGATTATTCAATACACACTTCTTGTTACAGACATTATGAACAAGTAACCATCTGATTGAAACAGTCGTGTGAGCACATCGAACATTGATCAAATACTAATCAATCTATAGACTATGAATAATTATATGGATTCTGTATAATGATTATAAAAAAAAAACTATGTATTCCTTGTTTTTTTGTTTCGATAGTTTTTGAAGAGTACAAAAAGAGACATCTTATTTAATCTTTTATTATTATCAAGAAGAGGATTTATTATAAATGAAAAGACCAAAACGAACAATGCTAGTATATTTATTCAAACGGAAAGAGAAAACATATATATTCTAATGAGTTGGATTGAGCGACATATAAGAGAGAGAAAGAGAGAAAGAAGATGCGCCCGTCTATTACGTAATTCGGGTAGCGAAACTGTTTTCCGACTACTCGACTATATACAGTTCGATCGACTAGCTAGGTCAATGAGGCACAAAAAGAAAAAGAAGAATGAATGAATGAATGAGAGTAATTGGGGTCTTTGCATATTGTATATAAAAACGACCATCAAATCATAATTTGATTTTTGGTGGTAGCTTGATTTATAACTTTACTTATACTATACTTCTTTTTTTTCTCTTTATCGTATCTTCTACAAAAAAAAAAAAAAAACAATTGATTCAGTTTTTCTTTTTCGAATGATATAATCATTACACTGAACTCTCGGAAGTTTAAATTATTCGATGAATATAAAACGAATGATTACAAAGATATGTGCTTACCATATGTAAGTAAATTTTGTATAAATCTTATATATATATATATATTATTTTTAATAATTAGTATGAAAAATCATTTTTTCTTTTTGTTTAGCTTCTGTTTTTGACAGTAAATGAGTAGGTATCTATTAATAATCGTTCTATTTTTATTCTATATATTATTTAAAAATGATTTCAAAAAAATTTTTATTCATCTTTGATATAACCATAATCATTTTAACGATTGTATTACGTTTATTTTATATGCGTGCATTGATTTGATTTAGAGAAGATGGATGTGTAGGCATGTGAAAAAATATATATATATGTGTGTGTGTGTGTGTATGCGCCTTTTTATGCGGATAAGAATAGAGAAAATGAATCCTGATTAAAACTAAAGCGAGTCACGCTCTGTCGCCAACTACTATAAGTAGCGTTACTCATTCACAAATATTAGGTTTTAATCTTATGACAAATATCTATGTGGATGAAAGAATAAAATTATTCTTAATAGAAGAATATATATATATATATATACGGATAGAGATGTTGAGAATAGTTTTATTTGTTTTCATTTGCATAATTATACCATACAGAGAATTTCTGCTGGATATCTTGAGAAAGACATATATAAAAGCAAAGATTTAACTTCTGATATTATTATTCTAACCTCTCTAATCTCTTCTATGAGTATATAACAAAAAAAATGTTATCCCCGTAGATTTTGTATAGAATATATGTATGTATAGACCTTCATCAATGACAACCACCTACCTAATAATATATTTGAAATTAGATGATAGTGATCTTTGTAACTTGATCTCTCTTTCTCTTTTGTTTCTATCTTTATATTTTAGTTATTAAGATGTAATCATTTATTATTATGATGAATACAACTCTAACAAATTTTGATTATATTTATAATAATCATTTTGTTCAAATAGCTTCACGTAGTGAAAAATTTATTTTACCATGTTTATTATTAATTGGAACGACATGTAATACATTAACATTTGTTGTTATGAGACGAGGTCGTATGAAACATTCATCATCATGTTTTTATATGGCTGCATTGGCTATAGCTGATACATTTGTTTTATGGATTGGTTGTTTTAATCGATGGTTAGAATTATTAGAAAAACAAAGACCTATTTTAGCTTGTAATATGTGTTGCAAATTGGGTACATTTGCATTTTTTTTCTTTGCTGATTGTAGGTAAGCAAATAAAAAGAACATTTCATTATATGATAGATTAATGTTCATAACTAATGAAATCTTAAAATATTTTCTTTTTAATTATTTTTATATCTGTAAATGACATATACTAGATTTTATTTTAGAAAAGCTCAGTCTTTTTTTATATGTTTAAATTTATCTTATGCTTTTTTTTTATTTTTAACAGTTACTCTCGCGTTAATATAATTTCAAACTAAACTGACATTCAAGTTGTTTTTTTTTTTCATTATATGTTTAAGAATAGTTTTATTTTCATATAAGGATCATAGAGTAGAAATTATTGATAATTATGGTAACAAGAATGAACTATATATTTAAAGAAAAAAAAGAAATTTTTTTTAACTTAGATTATGTCCACATAAATGATTGTGACAATATAAAATAACAATCAACAGGAACTTCTATTAATAAGAATTAATTATCTTGATAGTACGTTTTATTATCATAGAAAGTTTCTAATTCATCTAAATTGAAAATCATACTCTAAAGTTATAGATTTAATAAATTATAAGTTCTTATTAATAATATATCATTTATAAGTTAATTCGAAATCTTTTTGAATATTGTTTATTTTTCTAGTGTATGGATAACAGTTGCAATGACATTCGAACGATATATAGCTGTTTCTCAACCACTTCGTGCTAGTCAAATTTGTACTATAAAACGAGCACGTTACATTCTTTTAAATATTTTTATTATATTCTTTTTAATTAATGCACATTTTTTATGGACATTTCATTTATCATTAACAGAATTTCATTGCATACCATTTAATCAACAATCAATTTTTTTAAAATATTTTACATGGTTTGATTCATTTAAATATTCATTTTGTCCATTTACATTATTAATAACACTTAATATATTAATTATAAAAAGTTTATTAAATGCTCGAAATAAAAATAAATTATTAGAACAACAAACATCAACTATTTATAATAATAATAATAATAATAATATTAATATTAAACCTTCTTCAATATCATTTTCTTCAACATCAACAAATATAAGTGGATATACATTAATAAAAAAATTTAAAAAAAAACAATATCAACAACATATATCAACAAAAACTTTATCATATAGACGTGTTAATCGTCGTTTAACAACAATGTTATTAACTGTATCATTTGCTTTTTGTATTTGTTCAATGCCTATATCAATTATGCAATTAATTGATGCAATTTATTCTGATATAGAACAACGTTCAAAGAAAATGAATATTGCTATTACTATAGGAAAAATTATAGCTGAAATATCTCAATATATTAATCATTGTAAGCTTTATTTTTTTTTGTTATTCTAATTAATAAAAAAAACTTTTTGTTGTTTTTTAGCTTCAAATTTTTTCTTGTATGCTTTTACGGGTCGAATATTTCGTCATGAACTTTGGAGATTATTTACTTGTTCTCATCATAGATTTTTTTCTTCATCATCACAACGTTTAAGATATCGTGCAAAAAAAATAATATCATTTCATAATCCAACACAAGGTTTACATGAACATTTTTATTCACATGGTCAATATCATACAAAAATAATTATTGCTCCTAGACATTTATTAAAAACATCACAAACTAATAATTATCGTCAAAGTATTTCTAGTAGTTATTCATTATCACAAACACCAATAACAAAACAAAATTCTCAATATCAAATTGATAATTCATTAACGTCATATCGTCATTTATCAATTTCTACACATCCAAATTCATTAACACAAACAACATCAATTATTTTGCCTGAATTACCATCATTATTTATTAAACAAAAAACAACACTTGCTTCATTTGTTGCAAATATTAAAACTGATCATACAACACCTTTACTTAATTCATCAGTAAAATGTCAAACAAGACAACCATATGGTCTTACAGATATAACATCAAATTCTTTATAACATTGAAAGAATTTATTCAGTTTTTTTTTTTTTTTTTTTTATAATCTATTATAATTATAAACTCAAATTTGTTTATATCAATGAGTAATTCTTAATAGTGTGTAATTTGAATTTTATCATTAATAAAACAAATATATTATATAGATTATTGTCTGTATAATATTTCTGAGCATATGTATTCATAATTTGATATTTAATAACATTCTATTCGAGTTAAATTGTTGTAGAAAATTTTTTTAGTAGGATAAATTTATGTATATTATGAGTAGTTTTTATAAAAGATATGAATCATTTCGAATAGGATATTCGTCATTGATAGATTTAAAATGTGTTTTACATAAATATTTGAAAAGTGTTTAACAGAAAACAAAGCTTTTGATAAAATCATGACGTATCTACATAATATTCATCAGTATTTTATGAATAAATAAATTCTTCGATTACAAAATGAAAAGAGTTTTAAGCTTCAAATCAAATTCAATTAATTCTGTTTTCTTTTGATGAGATCAACAACTATATCCTTTTTCATATTGATCTTATCCGTACAGTAAATATATTCAATAATCTTATCAGATATTGCTTTGCCATAGTCTTTTTTTTTTCGATTAAGAAATAAAACGTATAAAAATCATTCTTATCAATACATTAAAACTTAAGAATAACAAAAAGTAACATGATGAAAATCATCATTCTTTTTCTATTCATATTCATTAATGACAGTCAATTACAAGAAATAATTACTCTTTTCAATTGTACTTTTGATTCTGGTTTCGTTGATGATTGTATCTTTCAAAGTGTACTATCACCAACTAATAATCTAAATCTAAGTATTGATCAAACTTTACCTGCTAATAGTATCAATCTACCTGATAGACCTTTGTCTGATGCTACATCTGTGTGTAAGTTAAATAGAATGTCATGAGAGAAAAAAAAATGTCGACTTTTTTTTGTAATTTTAGTTTCACCTACTATGGAAGGAGAAATGTGTCAATTTCCATATGATTTGAATGGATGGGATATGTACTTTTGCCTCTATCAAGAAACTACAAAAAACTACACATGTCCAACAAATTTAGGAAATCAAACATGTATCAAAGGTTATTTTTTTGTTAAATTATATCTTAATGCTTCTCATAGAGAATTCTTAAAAAAAAAACAATAGGTCAATATGGCTATAAGACTACTTCTGATCCAAAGGGTTTTACTGAGATTTATAAATCAGTTACAGCAATGGTTATAAACTCAACTGATGAATACCAATGTCTTAGTTTTTATTATTATTTTACGGATAGTTTTCGAGAACCATCTATTATTTTTCGAATGAGTGCAACATCAAATACATCAAATAGTCAAAATATTGTAACTGTCAAACCAAATGATGCGAACAGATGGTACTACAGTCAAACGACATTTATGGTAGCACCAGATGAGTACTATGTAAGATAAAAACTATTATGTTATACAACGTAACTATGAAATATTACTTTTATAGCTCATGCTAGGTCTTTATCGAGCTTCACATTCGATTGATATAACGAATTTCACTTTTGCTATCGATAATATATTGATTAGAAATGGACGATGTCGTAAGTTAAAACAAAAGTATCTAATATTTCAGTGATTTTCTTCTTTTAGCTTATGTTTCCAATAATAGTCTAACTACAGATGGTTTGATATTTGTAAGATTGATTTGTTTCGATATAAACACTGTCACATAGATGGTTTTGTACGGTTATTGTATATGGTCTTAGATGATTCGAATACGGCCGCAACTTTACGAGTATGAGTTATTAGATGTTGACTGTTTACACACTGTATTTATTGTAAGCAGATCAAGATTTTATATTCTTTTTTTATACCCTATTGTATGGGGTGTGGCTAGGACTAACATAAAATGATTGGAAATAATCGTATTTTCCCGAATATAGATAACATCATTACTCTATATTATGATTGTCATTTGAAACTTGAGATGGCTTTTTAAAAAACTTACAGACCGTTCTTACGCAGCTCAACTTCTGGATGCACTAATTCGTAGAAAGTATTGTTATAGATGACATTTTTTCCTGAATAAGAGTATGGTTGTTGTTGATGATTAGTATCAACTATCGTCTTTGGCTTTTAGTCTATCCGAAGCTATGGTTGTGACATTTCAAATAGGAAATGAAGGTGTCGGATATGATCAAAAACAGATATATTTTAGTATTTTTTGACTTATTCTAACTGGTTTTGTCACTCCGGTCTGGTATTAGACAAAACCTGCGAATATATTCAGAAAGAACATTTAAAACTGAGCACAACTGACATGAAAAACTCCAAAGACTCCAGTAGAACACAAGGAACTAATCATGGTTGATCTAAATCCCTAGCTAAACTTAAGTTTTTTTGTCTGTAATAGTCTGGCAAGATCTGATTGGACACTGAGATTTGAAAAATATCTTTAGGTGATCAGAATTGAATTGATGTTCGTTCTTCATGTACAGTACTTATTATGAAGAAGAGACAGATGTAAAGTGTAGAAAAAAACCTCTGATATCCCTAATAGAAACTTGATAGTCACTACAAGATTGGTGGTTATAGAGAAAGTAACTCGAAAATAGTTTTAAATGCTGTAGTCGATTCTACTCCATAGGTTTCAGAGAAAGCTATCGATTGACGTCCATACTATCTAAAAAATTCAATGAAAGCTTAACACTAAGAATAACAAAAAGATTTTTTAGAGATAATCAGGAGAAAGAAACGCTTGTTAGTACAGAGAAGTCCTAAATGACATTAAATCATGAGAAGCTCGGTAGTAACAGAGAGTATTCAATGAAAATACACAGTAGTGTAGCAATTTATGGTGGCTAATGGAATATTGAAGTGATACAATGCGTAAACAGTAATCAAATACGACGTCGTTTCGTACTGTAGTGAATTGTAATAAGATGCATCGTATAAGTCGTCGTTTTCCAGTCGAATATCATCTATATGCAACCGTATACACCCATTCAGGTGTCATATTGTTTGATCAGAGTAGTTTATAATTGTAGAATGAAACGTTTACTATATCGACTAATTTGGACATGTATACAACAGAGAAGTAATATTATGTGATTTCAAAGACCTTTATAAAGTCTAATTTTTATTTAAATAGGAATACTACTATTGAAATGCTAGAATTATCCACTACAGCCAATTTTGAAGAAGCTACGACAACTAATCGGCAGTCTTCCATTACGACGCCTATGATTTCAACTACTACCGACAGCTTCAATACTCTCGGTGGTTTCTCTACTCAGAGTGATTCTTCTGCTCAGAATGATTCGTCTACTCTGAGTGATTCTTCTACTCAGAGTGATACATCTACTCAGAATGATTCGTCTACTCAGAGTGATTCTTCTGCTCAGAGTGATTCGTCTACTCAGAGTAGTTCGTCTATTCTGAGTAGTTCGTCTACTAAGAGTAGTTCGTATACTACTGGTAGTTCGTCTACTGCCAGTGATTCATCTACTCAGAGTAGTTTGTCTACACTTAGCAGCTCCTCTACTCTGAGCAGTTCCACGACCACCGATGATTCGATAACAACAACTACTGCCACATCATACACTAACTCTCACTCGACAAATTCTACAAGTAAAACTTTGGTTACAACTTGCTCAAGCACAATATCAAAAAATACGACTCCTTTAAGTAAAACGGTACGTAAAACATTGTTTGACTAATCCATGAATATTCCGTAATCGATATTAAGCGTCCTAAAATAGAAGCTAAGGATCGACCAACTTGCAGTTGAAAAGATAGATCAAATAAGGGAAAGAATTATTTGAATCGATCAACTTCTATCGAAGTTCTGTTCAAAATACTCTTCAGATCCGAATTAGAACTGAAGTTGTCGATATCTGATAGCAAAAAATACTATACAACTTGAAATTGAAATTTCCTACAAAATATAATCATTCAGTAATGAATTTCTTTATTTGACACAAGGAATTTGAATACCATGATGTTTCAACAGAAATCTTTTTATACTTGTCTAGATGTCAAGATTGAGAAACTAGTACTTTAAATATTTATCTAATTCTATTTTTCAAACAGACTACTAAATGATAATTCCTAATTTAGATGAAAACTACTACGAGTAGTCCTACAACAATATCATCCAACATTTTAACCATAAAACCAATATGTAAGACAATTGTTTTATTAATAATATTTTCATAAATATGTTTACCCAATCTATTTTAGCCAAGAATTGGATTCTACCGCTTGGTTTATCATTAGGTTTTGGTATTCCAGTAGTAACTGCAATCATTGTCATTGCAGTATATGTGGTGAAGTTTGTGCTTTAATGAACAAAAAGACAAGAGACTCGTTCCATTTGATGGTGCTGACGAGAACCAAATAAACATTCATTTGCTTTTTTGTTTTGAAAATGTTTTCTTTTGTACTCTTCAAGGCTTTCCTGTTTCTAAGAGATTTTCTGTCAATTGATAACTGCTTTTAGCGTTTGAATTTTATCGAAACTGTTTTATGGTTAGCGGAATTTGTAGCGTCAAAAACGTGAACAATAGTTAATTACAATACAATGAATATTGGTAAAGTAGTAATGTGTAACTTTGAATATTGGAATTTGATTATTAACTAAAGAAAACAAACAATTATTCATGTAATCATTAATATTTCGACTGAAGATTGACGTGAACTCAATTGAAGCACATAATCTTTCTTTAAAACGCCTAGTTTTAGAGAGCTAGAGAAATATCAGACATATATAATCGATACAACTCGAGATTAATCATCTTATCTTTTTTTTTTTCATAGAAGAATTTTTCTCATGAGATATATTATTTCTTAGTTGATGAAAATAGAAAAGAAATTTTCATAAAGCCATGCATGTATCTAAGAGTGATGAAAAAAATATTCTAAACTAAAAATAAAACCATAAGTTTTTCGAGATATTTTAATAATGTGGGTTACTTTGAAAGCGTCTTGAAATCAACTATAAGTAGACACAATTAATATCAAACGATCGTTCACAATAACCTTTCGTAAGGAAAGATTCCTTGGTCTAACTTATCTGGATAAGTTTTAAATATAAAAGCGTTTTTCATAAAACCGAAACGACCTTGAAGATTTCGAAAGATATTTTGAAGAGTTTAAAAATTCAGAAATAATACTGACCACGTATTAGTAAAGGAAAAACTTATAATTGAAATATTTCCATATGATTAATCCTTGTAAGTTTCTATGCAACACAAGATTTTCATGAACTTTTTTATTCGCGTGGTCAATGTCATACAAAGTCTCAATAATGTGCAATTTGAATTTTATCATTAATAAACAAATATATTATATATATACATTGTCTTTGATATTTCTTAGAACATTTATTCATCATTGAAGTGTATGTGCGGTATGAACATATAAAATGCAATAGAGCTATTTTGATTTTAGACACAAAGATTTGATTGATATTCTTGATATTTAACATTCCATTCGAGTTGAACCCTCGTAAAAAATTTGTTTCGTAGAGAAAATTTATTTGAACTATAAGCAACCTTTATCTTCTTCTGAAAGATATGAATAATCTCGAATAGAATTTTCGGCATTGAGCACAGTTTCATAGATTTAAAATGTGGTTTACATTATTGTTTGAAAAATGGTTAAAACCAAACAACGCTTTTAAATAATCGTGACGTATCTAAATTTCAAATAAAATCCATTTAATTCTATCTTGTATTCATGAGATCAACAAACTAGAACTTTTCTGTTCCCTTTGTATACTGATCTTATCCGTCCAGTAAATATATTCAATGATCTTAGGAGTCATTCATATAGAACATCGAAACACCTACTAAGAAGATTGTTCTTTGATTTTACATAAATTTCGCCAAAATTTTGTAAGATTCGTTTGTTTTAACAAGCATATTTAGATAGAAAATGAATAAGCTAAATATGAATATTAGTGTTGAAATAATTTACGTTTATTTTTGTAGAGCTGTTATGTCAGATTTTCGAATTTCATTGGTATTAAACTTGATTCCTTGTTTTTTTAACTATTTTTCGGTCATTTAAATCGAATGAATTATGAAAATAAAAACTTTGTAACAGATTAGATTGTTATTTCTTGCTTATGAAATATGTGGGGTGTGGCGTGTGGGTGTTAGTATCTATTCATGAACAGCTTCACCCACACCCACACCCCACACCCACCCCACACCCACACCCCCCTCACAGCCACGTCCCACCCACTCCCACCAACACCCACACCCCACCCACACATCCCACCCACACGTCCCAGGCCCACCCACATCCACACCCACTCACACCCACACACACCTACACCCACGCCCACCCACGCCCACCCACATCCACACCTACTCACACCCACACACACCTACACCAACGTCTACCCACATCCACACCCCCACACTCACACCCACCCTTTTAGAGTGTAGTGGACTCTTTCCTAGGCTATTTTAGAGGTTTTCCCCAAATCACAGGCTTTTGATCGAAAATCCAGTTTTAAGCATTCATATTACACTTTGAAGAAAAATTACGGTGATATTCAGAATCAGCGCATTAAACTGCATCGAATGATATGTAGCTCAACAATTTTTCAAAAAAAAAAACATTTTTTGAAAAAAGTAGGCTGGGGTCCCACCCAGCCATCATTTTTCGAAAAATTTTTTTTCTTGGAAAACCCGTTTTATTTTCTTAAAAACGATTTTCTGAGTGGTATACTGTCATTTCTAGTCAAATGAAAGCCATTTCTGAGCAAAAAAACCGCATGTCAGCCTGCTTATGCTAAAGCTCCCCACCGTGCATGAGGTTGCCTTCATTGTACTCAGTTTCTTTCGGCAAATACATAAGTGTAAATTGAAACATAATGTTACAGAGTAATAGAAAACTTCACAGGCTTTCAGAATATATAATTGGTTTTTTAAAAAATATGCTTTTCTGCTGATAATATATTTGAAATATGGACGGAAACTATTTTTTTCCGAGGATGGGTGAGTGTGGGTGTGAAGAGAATTAACACTCACAGCCCCTACCCACACGTCACACTAGCACATCACACCCACACCCTGGCTGGCGAGCAAGTATCCTACGAGCATATGTCCAGCGGGCAACTGCGTAGATTCTATGAAACCATAGTGAAGGGAAACTGCTGAGGTAATCTAAGCTAAAACTTTTGCTGATCTAAGTTATAACGTGATTCTCACAATGTCAGAATTAAAACATAAATGATTGAAACAAAAAAGTGATTAAAAAAATCAATTGAGCACGTATATAGAAAATACTTTGAAAATACAAGTCATCAATTGCAAGTAGTGACCACGAAACGATATTATGAAATTTAGAAGATGTACAAATAACTGAATATCAGAGCCGTACAGAAGAAAACTTTCAGATTTAAAGGATTTCCTAGCGATGAATATGGTGCAGCATTTCTCATTGTTCGTCGAAAAAACAACAAACTAACGCTTATTTATTCTTGTTTTTTGTTGCATCTATGCTTATTCCTGCTTCTTTGACATAAAATAATTACATATTAAAAAGTTGAAGAGTATATTTGTGAAACAGCACAAAGAAAGCGAACAAGCTCGACTATTAGTTGAGCTTGACAAATTTCTCTTCAGTAACACGGACTTTTATAATGGCAAGAAGTTTTCAAAATTATTGTCCAGTAGATTTGTCAGTTGCCCATTGCTGTCTACCTCTTAAAACAGTTTGACTAGAACATTGCCAACTATTCAAAGATTTCTAGATACGCCACTGTTTAAGGAAATAAAAAAGTTATGTATATTTCTAGAGATATTTCATCGATAATTAGAAAATGTTTTTTGTATTAATATATAGATTTATTCATTGTCATTAAGTTACAATTGTTTCATAAGTTAATGAGAAAATTCACGACGTTGTTTTTGTTGTTCTTCATTGCTGTTGCTATTATCATTATCAATAAATTGACGTAAGCTCTTTTGATGAGATTGTTCTTTTCGTTGTACATTGATTTTTTTCTCGTCACGTTTTTTGCTTATATTAGCACAGATATTTTGACAAGCTTTAGCTGCATCTTTAATTGACATACCTTGACCTGATTTTGGATTTCGTAGTTTATCAACACATTCGATTTCACATTTAAGATCTGGTTTAATTATATTATAACCACCTTGTCGTTTATTTATTGCACGTTCATATTGATCAGAATCGTCTTCTTGATTATCTTCATCTAAGATATTAATCTATTAAAGGATGCTCAATGGAAGTTTTTATACTAACCTAATGTAATAGATCGTTCCATTTGTTGATTATCAAGATGATTTAAAATCGAACGAAGTTCTAATTGTAAATCATTGTCACTTTCTTCATCATCTGTTGCAACTTCACGTACTGATGGATAATTGGCAACATGAGCAATTAATAGAAAAAACACTAAATAAATCAAAAGTGAATAAATGTAAATGAGTGTTTGATAAGAATTTGTACAAAAAATTACCTGCGAATGCGATATACATTCTATATAAATTAGAAGTAAACTAAAGCAATAGAAGTTTGAGTGTTGTATTGATACTTTTCGTCGCCTTTTATAGTCTTCTCTTGTCAATAAAAATTATTCATATCGACTTTTTCTTTCTTTATCGTTCTGTTCTGAATTATTTTTTTTCTTATTTTCTCTCTAATAACAATATTCGACAAAAAAAAAAGCATTGAAAGAATCGTTTAATCAGAATTGCTATATAAAGTTGTGTACGTATTTTTTTTTCTCGATATTAATGAAGGTAAATAAAAAAATCCAAATCTATGTGTGCGAATATTCAGTTTTATTACTTTTATTGATATGAAAATATGTATAACAGAGCGGGTAATGATAGGTAAATATATACACACACGAATATTATTCACCTAACCTCCAATGTAAAAGTATCCGTACAACTGTCTGAGGCTATTGCGCAGCGAGCGTGAATCATAGAAATTGGCTTAACATGTCTTTTGATAGAGTGAAATGAGTTCTTTTGAATGATGTATGACTTATTCATT